CGAGTCCAAATCCAAGTCTGATTCGTACCAGCAACCACTTCATGGTTCGTAGCATTTGTAGCCACCATAATCAGCAGAAACAACCGAGAGACGAGAGCCGAGGGCTATAATATATCATCAGCGGGCACAGAGCAACATATGTCCAAATAGTGGTGGGTGGAAGGAGAAGCACAGAGGAATACGAGCAGGGAGTAGGAATAGGGTGTGTGATAATATGATCAACCGAATGTGTAAAAGTCATGGAACAAATCGAGGCTCGTTAATAGAAAACAATTAAGTTTTCTACATTCCTTTCTGTTTGTGTGTGTGTTTTTTTTCTGTTTTGTGTGGCAAGAGTTGAACCAGGTGGCAGGGATTGACATGAACTATGTGCGGCACGTTCCAGCTAATATACGAAATGAAAAGTCAAGTTTTAAATCATTTATCTTGTTTTTCCCATTTTGCTGCAGAAGTGAGACAAAAAAGTGAGGAAAAATGACAAAGGCACGAGCAGAAATGATGCCGCTAAATGAAATTGGCAAAAGGAGCCGCGAGACGCCTTGAAACATGGTCTGAATGCGAAATGAACTGTGTGACAGTGACACCCTGAAAACGGACACTGAATGTGGCATCCACATCCACATCCGCACACATACCTTGCTGCCATACTAACTGCTGCTGTCAACCCTTTGGAGCCCCACCCTTTCGTCATATTATTCAAATTGAAACCGTTTTTCTGTGTACTTTTCACATTTTTTTGTTCACTCGAAACTGGAACTGCCGCCTCATGATTAATTCACGCATTTCGGATTGGGATTGGGATCGGGGTGTTCCAAATTCTAGGTTTAGTTGACCCTTTGTTTAAAATCCTTCTCCCTTTGTTGGGCACTTGACTTGGCCAATTGCTTCTTTGACAAATTATAGTCGTGTGTGAGGCAAAGAAGTGCTTCCAGAAATTAAAAAAGCGAAAACGAGACGTTATCTGCTTAACTATAAGACAGGGAGTAAGAGGGGAGGAGACATGAGTTACACTTGAAAAAAAAGAATAGATGCAGACAGACAATAAACACGGAGAAAATGGGCACAAATTATTTTTTTTCTTGCCATAATAATGCACAGGTACTTCTTCTATTCCTTCTTCCCATTTAAAGTCACCTATTTTCCGCATTTAAATGTTTGCACTGACATTAATTACTTTCTGATTTCTTTTTGCGCATCTTTCCACCTAATGCAGATTAGAATGGAGACCCACAGAAAGCGTGGGCGCTCCGCAAGCAAAATATCATTAATTAATGCAAACAATAATATGTTTATGAATGTATGCATCTATAATACACTTCACTTGGACATTTTACAGCACTTTACATTTTACAGGTCCGCCATTAGCACTTGATTGCGAAGTTTTTGCAGTGCTTTTTCCTCCTTCCTCCTTTCTCCATTTCTCGAACTCTCCACTCTACACTACGTGCATTTTATTTACACTTTTGTGTTTGCATAAGCCTCTATTGTGGATGGGAAAAGGATGGATGCGATCTATATACAACTAGAAAACCAATCAGCTGGAAAAAAATCCTTATCATCTAGAACGTGTGTGTGTAGCTTCCTTAATGTTTAATCTGCTAATTGAAAAATCAAAAAGAAAATTAAAATGCTTTGCAATATTATGCACATCTGAGCTCTTTGCCATTTGTCATGAGTATCGCACGTGTCGCAGTCAAAGCAAAAAAATTGCACGATTGATGGTTTATATTTTTTAATTTTTATAAAATTTTGCAATGTGCAAATCAATCAAATTTTGCGAATATTTATAGATCCAAAATGTATCAAATAATAAATTCATGATCAGAAGTGAAAGGGAATATAAGAAAACTGAATCAATCTTCGTTTTATTTTGCAAAATAATTTAATGAAAACCGAAATCGTTTCTATTTATATTTTAAGAGTGGAATCGTAGGAGTGTTTATATGCCATTTCATAAAGCGTTTGAATCAGGAGGACCAATACAGTTAAAACCAGAAAAAACCCAACCCTTTAGACACCCGATTTTAAAATAGAAAAAAAAACAAATTACTTTCTCCCTGCAAATTCAAAGCGATCACATTCGAGAGGCAGGTAGGGAGAAACACAAGAGGTTCTGGCTCGCCCCAAGTCGGCAATGACTGCAAATGCATTAAAATGATAAATGAGTGCGATTATTTCCCTATTACCATCAAATTAATACAGCTCTTCTGGTTCGCGCCACTTGGCGGTGCTTGGCGGCTCGCTGTTACCTTTGCCGCACCCATGCAAGAGCCAAACAGGCGACGACCAAGCGATTTATTGGCTAAAAATGAATTACCAAGCGCAGAAGGAAAAAAGGGGTTCAAATCAAACACAATCAAGCGAATTGGGTTCAGCTGAAGTTCCAGTTCAGGTTACAGCCATTCGGAGCTTGTCCTGTTGGTTATTGTTGGTTAAAAATAATCAGACCATTTCGTGTGCCCGTGCCCCCCAAGGACATCCACACAACACACAACTGGTTCTTGGGGGTAAACATCGTTTGTCAAGGGCTTTGACTGCCAACAACTGGTCAGAACTGCACTGCGAGACTTCGACTTCAGGTGGGGGGTGGATACTGATCCTTTTGACCAGAGACCTACGTGTGTAGCGGCCGTGCGATAAAATAGCCGGTTACAAAATATTTGTTGACATTCCGCGGTAAATTACCATAATTAGTTGATTCGAGACCGACCCATGTTTGATCTGGGGTGTGTGTCTCCATGTCAGCTCTCCAGTTAGTCAGTCAACATAATACCAAAACAGGGCCACTGTCACTGCCACTGCCACTGCCCACACACAGCTAAAAGGATAATAATTAGAGCATATGTACGGATTGAGTGCAAATATTGACTAGTGCCTGCCCTCCATTTGTCATCATTTCTGTGGTTCACGTTCTGGTGCGTACACCCAAATTAATCAGTTTGATATCAATATCCGTGCAAACATTGCTTCACATAAAACATATGTACGCATATGTATGTACATATATCGGGCATACAATATGTCCGAAAAGGATACCCTAAATTGCCTGACGAGGGGTTGGAACTATTGTGGGTAGAGCTACGAAACATTGGCGACCAATATTTAACAATAGTTTGATTTCGTTTGGTGGTTCTTAAGCCTATTTGGCATTGTACTTTCTCCTTTGATGATGTTAATATTTAGTAAACATTTAAATGTCACTCCTAAATAGTGATGATCAATAGCAAGTATAAATTATCCTCTAGATTTATAAATGAATGATAGATCCTACATTGGGTACACCCAGTAACCAAACCAAAATTCACCATTTTAATACTCCGGCTGCCTGTGCTCAAGGTTAACCTCAGAGTTTTCCTTTCGAGCAGCTTGACAATGACAAAGTCATTAGTTGAAAACTCCTACATCCTTCTGTATCTGTTTGGGTAGCAGCAATAAAACCCACAATGACAGAGGATGAACCAATGGACCGCAAATTAATCCCAATTCCCTCTGTTTTGAGCCGAAGCGACAATTAATATTGCGAGCGAGCGAGCGAGGCTAAGAGATTAGGACAGTCAAATGACTTTAAATTAAGCCGCTGTGCGTCTGTCGATTTAATTAAAATCAAAACCAAATCTTTGCCCCTGCTCCGCCCCTGCCTTGTGCCCAGCCGAAATAGACAAATAATAAAAGCATAAATAATGCAAAACAATAAATGAGCAAATATTCATAAATTATTAACGCCCCTGTCGTGGAGAGTCGAGACTCCTGTGACTCCTGACAAAAGACTGCACAAATACCCAAAATATTTTGCCAAAGCATTTAGAAGGACAATGAGGCACGAACGAGGATATCCCAGCCCAGCCCCGCAAAACCGAAGGCCAGATGACAGGAATGGTGGAAGAATAGCAAATCCCCGCAACAAATAATTGAGCCTCATAAAGGAAATATCATTCATTGATTTTCCTCCTACGACCTCAACAGACTCTCGACCTCTCACTCGCTCTCACACCACCTTTGGCAGCAGCAAGTGGATGAAGACCTATTCCTTGGCCGAGGATAAAATGGGGTGCCAAACGCTTGGTGCTGTGGTGGGGGTGTATTTGCCACCAGGGGGAGGCTGTCAGCACAAGAACAATATGGACAGCTGACGAAACTACTATCACACTCATGCGAAGGATGGCCACGCTTTGTGGGGGAAGATGTTCCACATGAATTCGAAATCTATGCCCCGTCATGATTTGCACAAAAAATATACTTCGCCCAGAGACAGGGCAAAAGGACAAGGCAGGATTTACTGTTGGACAGGGAAACCACAAAGAGAACAAATGATAAATTATTAATGGATTTTTGTTAATTTGATGACAATGATAATGGCCAAGATCAGATTATCCCCAGTGTTCACCGCAGAGGTTAAGATTTCTGCATTCAGAATATTATTGCTTGTTTACTTTCGTCAAAAAGCGTTTGGAATGTGTATTCAGCGCCAGCGTAAGGAGATTACTGCAAAAATATATGGAAAGAATTCAGAGCAAAATTAACAAATTTTAAACTTTAAACAATTAAAGAAGACATGGTTTTTAATTTAGAATTTTAGACCGACCTTCGAAACGTCATACCATTCACCTTTCCACAGAGTGCAATATGTGTGCAAGCAAATTGCTTCTGTAAGCAAGTTGATTTAATCCAACTATCGATATCTCGTTACCCATAAGTATGTTTTTAACATTAAGCAAACGTGTAGTTACCATGTAATTAAAAAGGACACACCTTCTTTGTTTAACCTTATTTTATAAACAATCTAATGAAAGAAGTCATGAAAACTAGCTAATCTTGTAAAAAATTAATTGATAAATCGGATAAAACTATTGTTTTTGCGAGGAGACTCCTAACTAGCTAGTTATATCTAATAGAACATCAACATCAAGGAATATGATTTAAGACTACTGTATATTTACAGTATATTTTGAAGATGAAAATGTATATTTCGGTATATTTTCGAGGGTCTGTCGGTATCGAGATACGCGGCCACACTGTAGCATTATTGGAATCGAAAAAAATAAATAAAAATAAGTAACAAATGCCTAAAACGTAAGAATAAATACACCATATTCGAGTAAATATGAGTGCGTACAATCGGAAAATGATGAAAAAGAAGAGTCCCAGTCTGGGGACAATGTCCGATGCTGAGATGGACGAATCGGGCTACATGTCCTTTCGAGTGCAGCACAACTCGACCGTGGAGGCGCCATTTTTGTTGGAACGTGACTGCGAAATCGAGAACTGTCGCAATGCAACTAATACAACGCTCGCCAGAGGCTTTGCCTCGTCGCTGTACCAAACGCCGTCCGACAGCCATTCGAGAGATGAATTCTGGAGCAAGAACTACCCGCTGACGGTTCCCGCCAGCCACAGCTCTAATAGCTTCGACGAGCCCTATGGGACGCCGAATCTGCAAGATGTACAGAGCGTGCCGAAGCGGCGCAGGAAGCACTTCCTGGCGCCGCACAGCAGCCCGAAGAAATCGAAGAAGCTGCTTTTCCCACAGCCGGATGAGCCACTGAACAGGAGACGCTACTTCGATGGCTTGGAACATTGCGACATCTTCAGTATGCTGAGCCAAACCCAGCCGGCCCTGGAGTGCATACTGAAGCATGTAAATGCCCAAACGCTGGACGTCATGACCAAAGTATCGAAAAGCTGGGAGCAGACGGTCTACAAGAGCCAGCGGGCCGTGGTGCGCCTGCAGAATCATCGGCTCAAGATGAGCCTCACCAAAGAGAATCCCTATCTCCCCAAGAGGAGACACAATGTGTTCAAAACCAACTCGACAGTGCCATTACAAACTTCGAACAGTATCAACTCGAACCACAACTCGTCCCTATTCGATACAGCCCAGAACAGTCCTCAACTGATGGACGCAGACGCTGGCCGCGTATTAAAGGAGCAAACCCAACGAATCAAGTGTCCGCGCTGCGGCAAGGGCAGTCGCGTCTTCGTCAGCGAGGCTGCGCGGGATCGAAGCGGCGAGGGGAGTGCGCTGCTGTCGCAAACACTGCCACCGATTAGAAATTCATTTGCCATCAGCGCGAGGCCAGCCATGTCACGCTTCCTGTCGCTGGATCTCGAGGAGATCAAGGACTCACAGCCGACCTACAACTTCGCCGAGTGTACCAGTGTCATTTGCAAGTTTCGCTTCTGCATTAACTGTCTGTGCAAGTCGCATCCGGGCGAGCGTTGTCTGGTCACGGAACTGGGCACACCCTCGAAGCTGATGATGCCCAGCGAGAGGCTGACTCCGCCGCCGCGAAACCAGAGGCAAGACTACAAGCTCAAGAAGAAGAACTCACTGAAGCGGTTGTGCTTTTAATTCTTACAATTCCATAGTTATAATTACTCGTAGTATGTAGAGAGCATCATGAAAACGGTTTGCACAAGTTCTTTTTTACGTTTAGTATTCGAATGAGTTCGTATTATGTTTACTTTGCGTTAAGTTTCGTTTTTACCTCTTTGTCATCCATCAACATCAACCCACCATGCATAAAGCAACAAATTATCATTACTACTTTTAAACTGTTTGTTCTCGCTTCAAGAATCCTGAACAATCTGTACCTCTGTGAGATTAAGCACACACACACATACAAAAGTATTTTTTACATTTTCAAAATATAAGAACCATACAGAAATTATTAAGAGTTGTGATTTATCTTCATGAAAAGCCTACACTAGATATATTCAATTTGTTTTTTTTTTAAACAAGATTAGTTTTGGTCGTCGATCGTTTAGATTTGTTTCTTTTGTAAGGTTACTAGCTTTCTCTCATTCTCCTTCATCTCAGGTTCACAACAGCTTCTACGGAGAAAATGCAACATAAATACAGGGTAACCACAGTGCGAATCAAAAAAATTATAATTATAGTATAAAATCTATTTGAATTAACCTTCTCTAGGTCACACACCTTGCCAGTTGCAACTTGTTGCAGCTGTTCAAATATATATGTTGTTATGGATTCACCTCTTTTTCTGGTAGATTCATGTAGATATCATTTAGAATAGTATCGTTAGTACTACCAAATAAGGCTCTCATGCTACTTAAAATTGATTGATGAATCGGATTAAATTATACTTTCAGTGCTGAGAGTCATAACTAGATCGTTATATTAAATAAACTATCAAAATCGTTTTGGTATTTTTACGGTATATTTCAACACAAGAATGCACTTTTTGATATATTTGTAAGTGATTTATCGATAATCAAAACACGTGTAGCGTGCGGGCTCCACCGCGATAATATTATTAATTTAATTCGTTATATGTTGTGCAAGGAAAACTGATTCAACATGACGACATCATTGGCCCAACAGCTGCAGAAATTGGCAGCACCCCAGACAACGGTCACGCTTGCCGATGCCCGAAGTCGTGCCTCGATATTGTTCGATCCGAAGACGGCGGCCACCAAAGACAGGAGGGCCATCTATGAGATTGGACTGACTGGACTGCAGGAGCTGACCGACTTTAATCCAGCATTCAAGGAGTTCCAGTTGACGCTTTTTGATGAGGCCACGCTCACGCTGGAGCGAGCCGTGGAGCTGCCGGAGGTCAACAAAATGCTGGATGCGGCCATAGCCAAGTTCCTGCGTCTGCTGTCGCCTTACATACTGTTGAGGCCGGCACACATGGCGTTCGAGTGGCTGCTGCGTCGTTTCCAAATCCACGAGTACAACAGGGGCGAGGTGATGGCCTTGATTCTGCCGTACCACGAGACAAACATATTTGTCCAGATCTTGCAGACAATGAGGCTGCGCGAGGCCGATGCCGAATGGTTCTGGCTGCGTCCCCTGCAGCGACCAGGTGTGCCGCTGGCCAAGACGGCCCTGATCAATCGAGCAGCCAGCAATCCCGCCTTCCTCAGCTTTGTTTGCCGCAGCACTCGTAAGGCCGTCAAGGAATTGGGTCCACGTGCCCATCAGCTGCAGGCGCAAATAAATTTCTATGCCACCATCGTTGTGGGCGCACTGCAAACAGCCAAGCCACTGGAGGATTGGCATATAAGTACCATCTTGGAGGCACTGCTGCAGGGCCTGGTCTCCGACACGATCGACTTCATGGCCGCCTCCTATGTGATTGTGGCCCAACTGGTGTCCCGCACCAAACTCAAGGCCAAAGTCTGCAATGCTCTGCTCGAGCGTGTGGCCAACTGTCCATTTGAGCGTCTGCAAACCGAATCCCTGCTGCTGCTGGTGTGTATCTATGGCAAGCAACAGGCTGCCGGGCCACAGCTCAAGCCGGAAACTGTTTTGAATTTCATTGGCCAAAAGTGGCTCATTGCGGCGTTGGCATCGCTGGCGAATGGCAACTTTGCCATCCAATCTTTATGCATCCCCTTAATGACGGGCGCAGTGACAGCCATACGAGAGGATGATCCATCATCTGGTTCGTACAAGCAATTCCTCGACAATCTGCTTTCGGATGTGCCCTTACCCAAGCCCTCCGCTCAACAGTTAATTAAGTGAGTAGAGAAGATCCTCAGACTCAGTTTTTTAGGTACATTTAATTCATTTATTCCTCTATTTTTGCAGTTGTTTTTTGGATACTTTTGTGAGTACCGAAAGTGAGCTCCCGGCACCCTCACCCATACCTATGGAAGAGGAGGATACAATTGTCATAGATTCAGATGATGAAATGGAAGCGCAGAAGAGCAGCTTTCAGACCTGGTATGCCGCTTACCTTGAGAAGCTAGAGAAACGCTACCCGGAGGCCTTTGATTTGAGTGTGAAAGAGGCGCTGAGAGCCAGATCCACGACCAGCAATCGTCAGAAGGCCCTCAAATTGGCTTTGGGTGAGTGGGAATTGATTAGAATTCCATGATCCTTGTACTATTTATGCTATACACTTTAAGGTTTCCGTTTAAACACCTCGGATGAAAAGGCAAAGCGTGTCTATGAGAAACTGTATCACTACAGCCCCGATTGGCGGCTCAGCGCAGTGCAGCAGCTTGTGGAGAATTTAAAAACTGGCAAGAAACGCGAGCGTAGCGTTAAGCTATTGCAGGAATGTCTGCCCGATCGAATCAACGATGACAGTGGCGCTGTGGTGGCCGCAATTCTCTCGCTGCCCACTGAGGAGCTCTTGCAAATGCTGGAGCCCGTGATCTTTGCCGAGACTCTGTGTCGACTGCTGCGTCGTGCACAAGCCCAGCAGCAGCAGAAGCAAAAGGAATGGCGTGCCTTGGTGCCACTCTCTGTTCAACATTTGACAACTACCGCGGTTAGCAATCATTATGACACGAATCTAGTGCTGCTGGCCCTTATGCCGCTGCTCTTTCCATCCGAACCTTTGGCCGAGCACGAGCACAGTGCCCTGCTCATGATACTGAAGAGTGAGTTCTGTGCGAAGGTGCCATTCCTGGGACAACTGAAGGTCAGCAAGAAGTACCCAGAGTTTGCGGTGAGCAAACATCGTCAGCACTTTTTGGATGTGATTGCCGGGAGCAGCCGTGAGCTGTTTAGCCAAGAGCAGGCACTGCTGCAGAGTGTCGAAGAGCATGGGGGCGAGGCCCACATGCAGGATGCTTCCCAATTGACGCATTTGCTGCTCCTGCTCACCGCCTACGCCAAGCGGCAGCTGCAGCCCCAAGAGAGTTTGCACATACTGGAGAGGATCTGCCAGTACAGTCGCGGCATTCAGTTCAGAGCCAACAAAAGCAATCGCAGCGATCAGAACTTTGTGCCGCTACAGCTATACCTTGACTTTCTGCTCACTTTGGCGCGGAATACAAAATGGGCAGGACTTGTGGCTACGCCCTGGACACAACCCACGGATGGACTGCGCCTCTGCCTGCGTCTGATGGAGATTCTGGGCGCACAAGTGTTCACCGAGCGTTGTGATGCTGAGGAGCGGCTAGAATGGACACAGGCACTCAAGCGATGCCTCAGCATAATGCTGCCCGCACCTCAACACAAGCTGGAGTTCCTCTCCAATTTCTGTGTATTCGAGAGACTGCCGGAGCTGTGGGCAAACGACTCGGATTATACAGTGCTCCGTGTGCAAGGCTTCCTGCTGCTGGAGGCGGTGGTGGCCAATGAAGACTCCAAGCTAGAGTGCAGCCTGTTGCATGTGCTACGTGTGGCCAATGCCTGTGGCTCGCCACTGCAGACACTCCGCCTGCAGGCCATGGACACGCTTCAGTTGATGAGCCAGCGAGATCTCGAGCCTCATGTTCAGCAGCTGGTAAAGGCGCTATTAAAGCGGAGCAGCGAACTGGGCATGGATCACGAGCAGTACGCGCTGATACTCTACACCATACTGCAGCCAGAGCATGCCACGCCCAAGGAGAAGCTGCTGCTATCGAAGCTGCGACGATCCGTGCTGGCTCTGGCCTCAGATCCTGAGCAGCCACCAATTTGCACGGACTTCCTGCTGCGTGCCCTGAAACATGTCAACGATGAGAGTTTCTTGACTGCGCTCCTGCCGCTGGGCATTGCAGCACTCGAGAAGATTACCCTCGAGCAGGGGCCCAACAGTCAGCTGAAGCAGCTGCCGTGGCCTTACAGTGAGATCTACAAGTCGGTGATGGAGCGTTACGAGGGGAACATAGCGTTGAATGTGCTACAGCGGCAGCCACTCGCCTGGGATCTGTTTGAGGCGAGCTTTGCGCATCACGATGCCTACATTCAGCTGGACCAGAAGCTGCAGCCCGTACCCTGTGTCCTCCTGGGCATACTCACACCCGAAACGTACGAACGACTGCAGTCGAAGCACAAAGTGTCGCTGATCAGGCTGATAGTGGAGGCGGCCACCAAGGCGGACAATGATAGCATCTTTCTGGCCAGCCATCGGCTGCTGAAGCGTTGCCGCTTGGAATGCCAGCCACTGGTGCAAATGCTAACAGAGATGTGCGGCAAGGGAGTGCGCGCCAAGACCCCGACGAGGCGAGGAAGTACAGCCACCAAGCAGGTGGACCTAACCAACGACTCCTGGAAGCAGGGCATGACGCTGCTGGAGCTGCTCGAGAGCAAGAAGCAACTAATTGGCTCTGAGCTGCTGATACCCACCCTGTTCGAGCTGTTGCAGTCATGCCTCACGCTGGAGGAGCACACCGCTGCCGAGTATCCCAAGCAGTTGATACTCTCCAGTCTGCTGCACTGCTGCCAAACGGCCCAAGCGGCTGCTGTGCAGCTGGCCAAGGCACTGCCCGAGTCCTGTTTCCGCATCGATCAGGTGGTCCAGTGTCTGAGGAACACAAAGAACCCACAGACCCAGCAGCATGCTCTACTCTTTCTCACCCACTGCGCGGGTCTCTATCCGCAGCAGGTGCTGCACAAGATTGTGGAAATCTTCACATTTGTCGGCTCCACAGTGGCCAGGCACGACGATGCCTTCAGTCTGCACATCATCCACAATGTTGTGGAGTCCATTATACCCATTCTGCTGCTGAATACCGGACAAAGAGATCGACTGGTCATACCCGTGCTGAAGGTATTCGCAGACATCTGCACGGATGTGCCAGTGCACAGAAGGCTGTCGCTTTATGCGACGCTCTTTCGTGTCCTCGATCCCAAGGCGCATCTCTGGCAGTTCCTGTGTATTCTCTTCGAGTCTCAAGTGCTGATGGAATCGTTGCCGCACAAAGTGGCGCTGGATAAGTCGCGTCTGGACTTTGC